ACCCCCCCAGACAACACAGGCAAACCGGCAGGACCCAGAGAGAGGAGCAGAGCCAGAGGGGGACACAGGGAGGGGGCCTTTCTACACAGGACAGAGAGAGACAGACACCACACACGTCCCACCACCACCAGGTCCCAGCGACGGAGGCTCCGGCTGCAAGGGAACGGTTAGTCACACAGTCTCAGAGTGTGAGTGTGTGTGTGTGTGTGTATGTGTGTGTGTGTGTGTCAGGGGTCTCCACACTGACATCATGTAAAATACAAACACAAAACACAACAATGACACAAACTCTTGAAGTCGGTGTCCACTGCACGATTCTGATCAGATTTGTTAAAGTCGTGGCTCAAAATGGAGGCTGTGGTTTTATACAAACACCTGAAGTTGGACGCTTTTGTTTGTGAGTCAGACACTTTTAAACCCGCGTTAAACATCTGCGGCATCAACACTCAAGAGTGTCAACGCTTGAAACACAGCGTGGAAACATTGCACTGACACAGTGGCGGCGCGGGTGACGGCGCGGTGACGGCGCGGTGACGGCGCGGTGACGATGTCACGTCTGACCTGAGCGTTGGAGGCGTAGGCTTTAGTAAACACACAGTCTAAGGGAGACACAGATCTGTCCAGTGTTTCAGTGAAGGTTTAGTTGCGTCTCCGTGGTGTTTCAGCCATTGTCCGTAAATATGAACATGGACATAGGATATGGACATACTTAATGTGTGAGGTGCCGCGTTCCAAACAGAAAGTGCTTCAGGCGGCTCTTCCGGCTCCTTCTAACTCTGGCTCCCATTGACTTACACACGTCTGTCTGGACCTGCTGCTGTGAGTCTCGTCATTTTTCTCTTAAATGTTTGTATGAACCAAACCCCCAGGTTCCAGAGTGTCTGTCCGTTCAAGTCACTGGGCCGAGCTCAATGGTGCATGATCCCAGATTCACCTTTAGTCCGGCGAGGTTCTTCCGGTGGTTGTGGGCCGACCGACCATGTGCAGTAGAGTCTTTTCTCCCGCGGGCACACGCGAATATATGTGAACACACGCACGGAGCGCGGGCTCGTGTATCACGTGATCACTCTGACCAATCAGGATCCAGATTCGCTCTTGTAACCGCAGAAACAGGAGCTTCGTTCGACTGGAGCTGAACACTCGCTTAGTCCACTTTTTTATACAGGCTACGATTTCAGCTGAGTTTCAGTCATGTTTCAGTGGCATTTCAGTCATTTTTTAGTCATGTCTCAGTGCTGTTTCAGCTGAGTTTCAGCTGAGTTTCATCTGAGTTTCAGTGCTGTTTCCATGGTGCGTTTTCATACAAATACAAAGGCGTCCAACTGGAGGCGTTTGACACAGCGCTCTGAAGAAGCAGGACCAGGACCGGGGCCATATTTGCACTTTGTGGAGTCAAAAACGCTGTGTTACTTTTACTGAAACTTTATAAACCAAATAAACGGTGCAGTGGACACAAAGTCTTCAGGCTCAGAGCTGCAGGTAGAGCTGGAGACCCCTGCTGTGTGTCAGATGCCCTCCCCGTGTGTATGTGTATCTGTGTGTGTGTGTGTGTGTGTGTGTGTGTGTGTGTGTGCGTGTGTGTGTGATCTGCAGCCAAAACACAACACTGAGACATTTCTCGACAGTCATCAAACGTGTCGTCACAATCTGAAATAAACCAGGCTCATTTTGGAGTTTTTTCTGTTTTATTCATTTTAATCTTGGAGGTTTTTAATGGAAAACTGTGATTCCCAAACGACGGACACAAGGATTTTCTCAAAAGTTTAGACCTGCTTTAAATCCTCGGCGTGAAGTTTGAGCATCACAGTTTTCAAATATCGCTGAGACGCTGCTGCGTACGTCGGCCGTTTCGTGGTTTTGAGATGAGCTCTGTCGGTACGCAGCAGTTCAGCTCGTAAAGACCCAAAAAAAGTTCCTCCGTGTGAATCCGTTTTATTCATTCTGCTGGAAAACTCCGCAGTTATTTTTACACATTTAATGAGCGTGTGAATTTACATAAGTTACAAATGAGCCAGAGCTTGTAAAGTCTGATAGGAAACTACCGGGCGGCGGTTTGAGCAGCACAAACTCATAATCGCCGCTCGTAACTTTTAACAGCCAAAAATCACCGGGCCACAGAAACACAGCGTTTGACCCGGAGCTTTAAACCCGCCGGGGATGAGAAGGGCTAGAGGGATCGCAGGCGCTGATAACGAGACGAGCGCGGCGGACATCTTGTGACTGGAGCCAGAGCGGAAATCTGAGTGAAAATAACATAAAAACTGCCCGTAAAGTAAAGTTTAAATGGGCAGATAATGGTGTGTTTGTGTCCTAATAATGCACGAATCACCTACAAACGTTGCATTTTTCTATTTTAATGCAGAATTAAAAGATGTTTGGGCACAAGCACTGATAATTTGTGTGTTTACTTCCTGTCCATGACTATAAAAGAAGAATTTGTTTATATGAATGAACGTTCAAAGCTCACACTACAAAAAAGCTTGGCCAAAATTTAAGGTATAAACACTTAAATCTATCAGAAAATGACTAAAAAGTGTTGAAATTATCTGTCCGTGCAGCAAGATCATTTTACTGGACAAGTTATTTTAAAATAAACAACCTCTAAATCCGTGTGTCATTCGTTAAAATAAACAACGATTTTCATTATGTGTCTCCAAAACCAAAATGAAAAAACAGATAATGATTCGTTTTTTCAGGACTAAACCAGGACTAAACCAGGTCTAAACCGGTCTCAGTCCTAGTCTCAGTCTCGATCTCAGTCCCGAACTAGGACTAAACCAGAACAGAACCAGGACTAAACCAGAACTGAACCAGGACTAAACCAGGACTGAAGCAGGACTAAACCAGGACTGAACCAGGACTAAACCAGGACTGAACCAGGACTAAACCAGGACTGAAGCAGGACTAAACCAGGACTGAACCAGGACTAAACCAGGACTGAAGCAGGAGTGTCGGGACTGGCCTGGATGTGTGCCAGCGTAGACTGTCGGGTGATCAGGAAACCGGGACCAGACTGGGACCAGACCGGAACCGAGACCAGGGCCGAGCCCGGGGCTGAGACCGTTGCCGAGAACAGGACCGAGACCGGGACTCAGACCGGGACCAGAGAGGGACTGGGACCAGGACTGAGACCTGGTTTAGTCCTGGTTCTTGTTAAATTCTGGTTTACAGCTGATTCAGACCTGTTCAGTGCTGGTTTTAGTCCTGGTTCAGTCCTGGTTTAGTTCTGGTTCAGTCCTGGTTTAGTCCTGGTTTAGTTCTGGTTCAGTCCTGGTTCAGTCCTGGTTTAGTTCTGGTTCAGTTCTGGTTCAGTCTGGCATCCCAGTTTAAGTCACATAAACAGGAAACGGCTGTTATCCGTTTTTTTTTCCATTATTCATTTAAACACAAAATCGAAAAATGAAAAAATGTTGGTTTTGGAGACAAATAATGAAGAAAATAGTTGTTTTTCGTTTTCTTATTTTTGGTTTTATTTTGAAAAACGAATGAACGAACGACACACAGATTCCTCTTGACTAGAATTAAACATCTCTGGTCGAGTAAGTCGATAATAAATGTAAAAACAAGATGAATAACCTGATATAAGTTTTAAAATCTTGTCCAGATCCGAGACATGTTGATATTTCACTGTTTCTCAAAGCTGAGTAACTGTTTGTATTTGTAGTTTATTTATGTTTGTGACGATGTTTTATTATTTATTGACGATAATATTTTGTATTTATTATACTCTAAATAATGCGTGAATATGTCTTTGTAAACACAGAGTCTCCGCTCAAGTGTCCTGCTCATTTGTAAAGAGTTTAACATTAACAAATCCTCCCACAGCTCCCTGTCCGCCGCCTGATCTTTAAATATTTATTGATTTTAGTGCGACTTGGCCGAAGCCCCACAGATACGATGACTGGACAGGAAGTAGTGACACTAACAGTGAGAGAGCCAGATGCTGCTGTGCACAGAGCCAATTATTATCAAGCATTAAACTGAAAAATGTTCTTCAGAAAAAAGTCCCTAGTTTATATAAGTGAATAAGAATTGTTCACTCAGAACACGGCCGCTGGAGCTCAGTGTCCTCGCTCTCACTCTCACTCTGTCGCTCTGTCCCTCTGTCCCTCTGTCGCTCTGTCACTGTCGCTCTCGCTCTCGCGCTCTCGTGCTCTCGCTCTGTCACTCTGTCGTTCTGTCGCTCTCGCTCTGTGGCTCTGTGGCTCTGTGGCTCTGTCACTGTCTCGCTCTGTCGCTCTCGCTCTCTCATTCTCTCACTCTCTCGTTCTCTCGCTCTCTCATTCTCTCGCTCTCTCGTTCTCTCGCTCTCTCACTCTGTGGCTCTCTCGCTCTGGCTCTCTCGCTCTGTGCTCTCTCGCTCTGTGGCTCTCTCACTCTCTCGCTCTGTCGCTCTGTCGCTCTGTGGCTCTCTCGCTCTCGTTCTCGCTCTCTCGCTCTGTCGCTCTCTCACTCTGTGGCTCTGTCGCTCTCTCGCTCTGTCGCTCTCTCGTTCTCTCACTCTCTCGTTCTCTCGCTCTCTCACTCTGTGGCTCTCTCGCTCTGTGGCTCTCTCACTCTGTGGCTCTCTCGCTCTGTGGCTCTCTCGCTCTGTCTGGCTCTCTCGCTCTGTCGCTCTCGTTCTCGCTCTGTCGCTCTCTCTCGCTCTGTCGCTCTCGCTCTGTCGCTCTGTGGCTCTGTGGCTCTCTCGCTCTGTGGCTCTCGTTCTCGCTCTGTCGCTCTCTCTCGCTCTGTGGCTCTCTCGCTCTGTCGCTCTGTGGCTCTCGTTCTCGCTCTGTCGCTCTCTCGCTCTGTGGCTCTCTCGCTCTGTCGCTCTGTGGCTCTGTGGCTCTGTTCTCGCTCTGTGGCTCTGTGGCTCTGTGGCTCTCGCTCTCGTTCTCGCTCTGTCGCTCTCTCTCGCTCTGTGGCTCTGTGGCTCTGTGGCTCTCGGTGTGTGGCTCCGTCGCTCTGGCCCTTCTGAAGCCCCGGCAGGTTCAAGTGTGACAGTGGAGCTCACTCACCGATGCAGGTCTTACTGTCCGAGTGCAGCGCGTACTTCTGGTGACAGCCGCACACGGGCCCCGTGTCGGTGTCGTCGCACGTGTGCTGACAGCCCCCGTTACCATAGTTACACGTCACTGAAAAAACACACAGCGATCAGAACAAAGCACACGTGTACATGAGAGATTTAAATCTGAATAAACATTTACTCTGCTTTAAAAAGACCATGTAAACACTTCATTCATAATTTTAAATGATCATCCGGAATTAAAGTCAATTCTGAATTACGTGGGTGGGTTATTTTATTTTATTTATTTATTTGAAAAGGGACAATGCACATTAAATAAAAACTAATCAACATCAAAACAATGTAAATGTGCCCGAGTTCACTGATAAGAGCTCATTTGCATCGATAGTCCCTTTGCCAGACGTCAAAAAGAAAATACACTTAAAAGTTACACATCAAAAATTACACAAATGTACAACAGAATTACAAAAATACAATAAAAGTTTTAGTGTTCGCGCGTTTGCTTCAGGCGCAGAGTTCCACTGACGAGACGCTCTGACCAAAGAGAAAACACACTGACCACATACAGTTTTTCTATGAGGAATAATCCCTCTTCCCTCACTGCTCCTCTGTCCTCACGAGATCTGAAATGAACAAAGTCATTCAGCGAAAGTGGAGCCGAGCCACGTTTAATCTTGTACGTTAGACAGATATTTTTAAATTGAATAAGATTGTCCCAGGTCATTAATTTGTATTTCTGCAAAATGTGACAATGGTGGAATCTGTAGTGTTTTTTGTCAAGTGTTTTTAGTGCTTGTTTATGGAGTGATTCAATGGGTTATTCTGATTTTAAAGCCAAATGAATGTATTCCTCGATCATGTAAACGTTTATTCTTGTTAAAAGAAAAGACGTCTCTCTCCACTTGATTGAATCGTGTTCCTCATGTGCTTCATAAACAGGATGATCAGTCCTTTCACTGGTTTGAGATTCCCCTTTGCCCCTTCAAAAACCAACGGGTGTCGGTCTCTGAAAACCTGGAGCATGGAGGAATCTCCAAACAACAAACAAAACAAAAATACAGACAAATATGGTTTCACAGTTTCACAGTTTCTTGCATTTTGCTTCATTTGACCCACACTGATAGATGGTAAAATGGTAAATGGTCACATTTTTCTACAGCACTTTTCTACCTTTAAGGCTTTCAAAGCACTTTACAACAAGGAACCTCACACACACACTCACACACACACACACTCACACACACACACACACACACACACACACACACACACACACACACACACACACACACACACACACACACACACACACACACACACACACACACCAGAGCACGCAGACACTGTGGACGAGGTGGGTTAAGTGTCTTGGAATCACACCACCAACCTGTGGGTCAATGGATCTGACTTTCAACCCATGATGTTTATGTCGAGAGCAGGATTCAAACCACCAACCTTCAGACCAGTGGGCGAATGCTCTACTTTTATACAAATACTTTTATACAAATACTTGCTCATCCAGGCTGCTTCTTCAGTTCTGGTCAGACGCTGGTGACACTTCCTTATATCTGCAAGGAGGAGCTAACTACACTGAAACTACTCTGAAACTAACACATCTACTTGTTTACAGTTTCTGTTTGTTAGTTCAGCCTATTGACCTGTACGGGTCAAAACTGACCTGAACCAGCCTCAGTGTCCACAAATTTGTAGCATCTGTACAAAAAGTATAAAATGCTAAAATATTTTCACTTTTGTGTATTTTGTCAAAATTTAGGAAAAGTCAAGATAAAAGAATGATGCTTAGGGTATTATTATTACTTCTGTTGAATGTCAAATTTGACCCGAATAGTATGTAAGGGTTAAAAATAATGCAGGTGATTCAGTGCATGTTTGTTGTGTCGTCCTTCGATCCGGCTGCACCAGTCCTGGTTTGGGACTTTGATCCATGTCTCTTTGGATTTGTGAGCGGGATGTGGGAGTGGGCTGAGGTTTTGTCTTCTTCCTCCTTCTCCGACACTCTTCCTCTCCTCCTCAGCCGACAGACGTAAAGTGTGATGAGACAATTCTCTAGCCGCCGCTTCACAATTATCATCGGAACCACTGTGGGAAAGTTTGGATGGTGTTTGTGTCCGTGGAGGAACGACAAACCAAGACGACGGAAAAGCCCGGAGCAGCTGAAGTGTGAGTTTTCTTCCGGTCGATGTAAATCCGTTGGTTTTCCCACTCGCCCCACAGCAAAACAGTGAATTTTAATGTATAAAAACACTGAAAAATCACTGTGCATCAGCAGGAACCAGTTTAACCCAAATGCAAACATGGAGCAGAGTGGGTGACTGCTCTTGTGGCTGCACGGCTGACACCCTGAGCAGTTTTTCACGTCATATCCTGGGATTTTTTACCTGTGCAGTTCAAAGGACAGACGTTAGTCACCGTTGGATTGTGTGAAGTGAGTAATGACAAAAATGTTTTCCTGTATCTGTGGAGACCGTGAGAGAAGCGAACGATGTCGACAACCTCTGACTTTTTTACCAACCAAAAAAAATAACTGCAGAAAGAGAGTGAACCAAGATGGCGACGTGACTGACTTTTTTTTTGTGTGTGCAAAGCTCTGATTCTTTGCCATGTTCAAGAGCAGAAATACTGTTTTAATGCTCCACAGCTCTTATGTTTTTATGGAACTTAAAATGACAAGTAAAGAAATCTAATCCAATCTAAACAAAAACAGCCTAAAGCTTCACCAAACAAAGCTAAAGACACGTCTACAGAATATAGTTTGTAGTCTGAAACACTTCCACGAGAGCAGAATGGAGATGTGAAAGAAAGAATGAGATGTTCTGAATAAAACCAAACATGTGCGACAGAGCTCAGGTTCCAGTCGAGTCTTTCAGTCTTCAGCTCCTCAATCTCTCCACACCTCAGACTCTGGCCCAGACGCCTCAATGAGTTTGATCTGAACTGTCCTCGTGCACCACGTCTGCAGCCAGAACTCTTCATGTACTCTAACATGTACTCTAATATACACTCTAACATGTACTCTAACATGTACTCTAATGTACTCTAATATACACTCTAACATGTACTCTAACATGTACTCTAACATGTACTCTAACATGTACTCTAACATGTACTCTAATATACACTCTAACATGTACTCTAACATGTACTCTAAATATACACTCTAACATGTACTCTAACATGTACTCTAACATGTACTCTAATGTACTCTAATATATACACTCTAACATGTACTCTAACATGTACTCTAATATACACTCTAACATGTACTCTAACATGTACTCTAACATGTACTCTAATGTACTCTAATATACACTCTAACATGTACTCTAACATGTACTCTAATATACACTCTAACATGTACTCTAATATACACTCTAACATGTACTCTAATACTCTATATACACTCTAACATGTACTCTAACATGTACTCTAACATGTACTCTAATATACACTCTAACATGTACTCTAATGTACTCTAATATACACTCTAACATGTACTCTAACATGTACTCTAACATGTACTCTAACATGTACTCTAACATGTACTCTAACATGTACTCTAAATGTACTCTAACATGTACTCTAACATGTACTCTAAATGTATCTAACTCTAACATGTACTCTAATATACACTCTAACATGTACTCTAACATACTCTAATGTACTCTAACATGTACTCTAATATACACTCTAACATGTACTCTAATGTACTCTAAATACACTCTAACATGTACTCTAATATACACTCTAACATGTACTCTAACATGTACTCTAACATGTACTCTAATATACACTCTAACATGTACTCTAATGTACTCTAATATACACTCTAACATGTACTCTAACATGTACTCTAACATGTACTCTAACATGTACTCTAACATGTACTCTAACATGTACTCTAATACTGTACTCTAACATGTACTCTAACATGTACTCTAATATATACTCTAACATGTACTCTAATACTCTAATATACACTCTAACATGTACTCTAACATGTACTCTAACATGTACTCTAACATGTACTCTAATATACACTCTAACATGTACTCTAATATACACTCTAACATGTACTCTAATATACACTCTAACATGTACTCTAATGTACTCTAATATACACTCTAACATGTACTCTAACATGTACTCTAACATGTACTCTAACATGTACTCTAACATGTACTCTAATATACACTCTAACATGTACTCTAATATACACTCTAACATGTACTCTAATATACACTCTAACATGTACTCTAACATGTACTCTAACATGTACTCTAATATACTCTAACATGTACTAACTCTAACATGTACTCTAATATACACTCTAACATGTACTCTAATATATACTCTAATATACTCTAACATGTACTCTAACATGTACTCTAATATATACTCTAACATGTACTCTAACATGTACTCTAACATGTACTCTAATATACACTCTAACATGTACTCTAATATATACTCTAACATGTACTCTAATGTACTCTAATATATACTCTAATACACTCTAACATGTACTCTAACATGTACTCTAACATGTACTCTAACATGTACTCTAATATACACTCTAACATGTACTCTAATATGTACTCTAATATATACTCTAACATGTACTCTAACATGTACTCTAACATGTACTCTAATGTACTCTAATATGTACTCTAACATGTACTCTAATATACACTCTAACATGTACTCTAACATGTACTCTAATGTACTCTAACATGTACTCTAATATACTCTAATATACTCTAATATATACTCTAACTCTAATATACTGTAATATACTCTAATATATACTGTAATATATACTCTAATATATACTGTAATATACTCTAATATATACTGTAATATATACTCTAATATATACTCTAATATGTACTCTAATGTACTCTAATATACACTCTAATATATACTGTAATATACTCTAATATATACTGTAATATACTCTAATATATACTGTAATATATACTGTAATATACTCTAATATACACTAATATATACTGTAATATTATACTCTAATATATACTCTAATATATACTCTAATATATACTCTAATATATACTCTAATATATACTGTAATATACTCTAATATATACTGTAATATATACTCTAATATATACTGTAATATACTCTAATATATACTCTAATATACTCTAATATACTCTACTGTAATATATACTGTAATATATACTCTAATATATACTGTAATATATACTCTAATGTACTCTAATATACACTCTAATATATACTCTAATGTATACTCTAATGTACTCTAATATATACTCTTAAAGTACTCTAACATGTACTCTAATGTACTGTAATATATACTCTAATACACTCTAATTTATTCTATTACACTCTAATATACTCTAATATACACTCTAATATATACTCTAATGTACTTTAATACATACTCTAATATATACTCTAATACACGCTAATATACTCCCATAGGCCAGTTTTAGTCCAATTTTTAGTTCTGTTTTAGTCCAATTTTAGTCCAGTTTTAGTCCTGGTTTAGTCCAGTTTTAGTCCAGTTTTAGTCCAGTTCTAATCCAGTTCTAGTCCATTTATAGTCCAGTTATAGTCCACTTTTAGTCCAGTTATGGTCCTCTTTTACTCCAGTTATAGTCCAGTTTTATTCTACTTTTAGTCCAGATTTATTCCAGGTTCAGTCCACTTTTAGTTCACTTTTAGTTCAGGTTTAGTCCAGTTTCAGTCCAGTTTTAATCCAGTTATAGTCCACCTATAGTCCAGTTATAATCCACTTTTAGTCCAGTTATAGTCCAGTTTTAGTCCTGGTTTAGTCCAGTTTTAGTCCTGGTTTAGTCCAGTTTTAGTCCATGTAAATCGGAAAAATGGCGTCTTGAAAATAAAAAAAATACTGATTCCTCAAACATGAATTCCTCCAAATCCAACTTCAGTGGGTCAGTGAGAAGAAACGACTAGAACGACTAGACTGGAGAAAGATCTGAAAAGTCCAGTTTGCAGAATAAGTCCGCTTCAAGAGACATCGATTATTTGTTCCAAAATGGATGAAATTCTGCACTTGAAGGACAACAGCAGACTTCAAATATTCACTCAAAAGTCAAGATTAAACCGTGGAGAATGTGGCCTAATGAGCTGACGTGTTGGCCGCAGTAACACGCTGGATTCTCAGGAGTTTTCCGATCAGAACTGAACATGTTTAGATCACAGTCACATTGAGGAAATCCCCGGGGTCGTTGAGCACCTGTGAGGAGCAGAGCCTGCAGACGGAGACGAGCGCCTGGTCTCATGATCAGATCTTTTTAAATGTCCAAATACAAAACGTCAAATTATTCAACCAAACTGAACATTTTACTTTTACATTTATCCAACCACACAGCAAACTGTCGACTGTTAAAAACTGCTCTCACTAGTTTTATATCGAATCCATTAATGTGATGATTCAGTATCGATATCGTGGGCTGCTGTATCGATATATCACCAAGAGGATTTTTTGGTTTATTTTACTCACTTATTTCATTACAGCTACAGTTTTGTTTTGTTCAGAGGAAAGAAAACTCGTTTATGCGACACATTTGACATTTTCACTGTTAAAATGTTTGTGTTTTTTAGGGGTGTAACGGTACAAAAATCACGGTTCGGTCCGTACTTCGGTTTTGAGGTCAAGATTCGGTTCATTTTCAGTTCAGTTTGGGAAACAAAATGCAAAACTATTTGGTTGTTGTTTATTTGTGTTTTTATTAAACCATCAATTTATTTTAACATTATACAAATGGAAAAATAAAATAAATGCAAATTGCTGCTTGGTAAAACTAATAAGTTCAATAAAATATTCTCAAATAACCAACAAATGTCTGATGTTCTAACAGTTCCAGCATGAACTTTTACTCAATCTAAATATTTTTGGCCAGAAAAACCAAATTGTCCACATTGTCTGCAGTAAAGAGCAGATCTGCAGCAGGTACAACGTCTCCAGCGGCTGAAAATAAAAACTTTCACTGTGGACAGAGTTCACGGGTCTGGGGGGAGGGGGGAGAGATTTCATATCGACTAAAGGTGAAAGTGACGCAACGACTGTAGTTTTGCAGGATTCACGTGGTTCATAGGGACGCGGTGAAGGTCGGGGCAGTTGTTGCCACCACAGTCACGGACGAAGTTCCTCGTGAACATTAAAGAGCCTCAGTGGAGCTGCACATGTAGAGACCAAATGTAAACACTCACAAACTGCACAAACTCACTCGTGCACCGAACCCAACGTCCTGTACCGAAAAGGTTCGGCACGAATACATGAACCATTACATCCCCAGTGTTTTTCATTGGTCCCAGTCCAAGCAGAAGTAAACAACAAGGCCAAAAACTCAAGTTAATTCATCTGATATAAAAGTGTATTGAACAGATACATATGTACTCTAGTTTATCAAACTGTTGACCTTTTTTCTGTTCCATTTTTGGTTCTAAAGTTCCATCCGTTTTAAACAGACCATGTATGAAACATGGAACAAAAATTATTTCCCAAATTTCAAAGACCCAAAAATCATGTAAATAAATGGATGTATTTCATCATATCTTGTGTTATTCCATCTTTGAACTGTTGATGAAGGGACATGATTTTTCAAAAAAATATATTTAAAATGATAAAAATGTTCTTGGAAGGACTGACATATTTTATAGAAATAGTTTCCTTTCATTTTGAAGTAATATTAAAGTTTTCAGAAGAAAAAAGCTGATAAATGATGTAAAATCCTGCACCTTCTACTTGTTTGTACAATTTTCCCTCCGTTACTTTTCCCTCCGTTACCATGACCTTTCTTAATAAAAAATCTCATGAGTCAAAAAGTAAGAGGTTTTTCAACCTAATCTTGTACCATATGGTAGAAAACTATATGAAGCAAATATTCAAACCAGTTTGTTAAGGATATGTAAGTGAGAACCAAGAGTTATCACTGTTTGGATTTATTGACCAAAAAGTGCTGCATATTTCATTCCCTCCGTTACCAACATGAGTTTTTACATTTTTTGTCTTGAACTTGAAAGAATCTCACAGGTTTAACTTGACCCTGTTGGAGTGTAACTCTTTCCTACATTCTGATACTTTACTTATTTCAATAGTTCCTCTAGTTTCTGAATAAGAGACATTTGAATGTCAAAAATCTGACCCTGTTTCCCTCCGTTACCACTTGACTGGAACCATTTTAACTCTGCACAAGAAGTGGTTTAACAAAGACTTTTAGTATCACTGACATGATTAAGCTTTTATTTTTATTGAACCGTATCGAATCGATTTGAAATATATCGTATTGAATTTTGATGACAATGAATTTGAAATCTTGTATTTATGGAACTTCGACTGAATTCATTTTGATTGTTTTAAATGTTTAATGATGAATTGGATTGTGTTTATTTTAAAGAAACACTGCCACTGATGAAATGTTGTTACTAGAACGTCAAGAGTTTCCTTGATGTGTTCTGTACCTGCCCGAGGTCTGCAGGTGGAAAGAAGCTTGAAGATAAATCTGACACAGCATCTTTTCTCTTGGAGTTTGATGTTTTCTGTGCACTGTCTAAATAAAATTAAATAAATAAGATAGAACTAAGATGTAAGTTTAATCCCATACTGTGGAACTTTCCAGGCAAAGGTAGAGAATCATCTAAAATTATTGAAGACCCACTACTCGGAAAGTTACACAGTGCACCTTTAACAACAGTAATTAGGCCGCGCCTTGTCTATTAAACCTTAAAAGTTCTATTTTACATGACATTTTGAGGTGTTAGTCGTGTTCTAATGTCGTTCCCTCCTCAAAAACAGACCTGGGGTTGTGTTTTGTTTCATTCACACGTGTCTGAGTAATAGAGAGTAATTTCAAGTTTACAGCTCCTTTTACCTTTAGTTGAGTAAAGATCGGCAATTCCAGGACTGAAATCATCCAAATTATTGTAGTGAAGGTGTCTGGAGTTTAAAAATATAGTGGAGCAGTGGAGTGTTTTTCATCTGAGAGAAGAACTCGGCCTAAATGTGCAGGTTTGTGCGTTAAACATGAATAAAACAAAACACAACTCGAGGTTTGTGACGAGGAAACGACGTTAGAACATAAATCAGGAAACGGCGTAACAGCGTACAGACTGAGAGTTACTCACGTGTGCAGTCCTTCTGGTTCTTGGCGAGTTCGAAGCCCGGGCGGCACTCGCAGGACACGCCCCCTTTGCCCGGCGCCTCTCTGCAGATGTGGGCGCAGCCGTGGTCCTTGTTCATGCAGTTCATCCCGTCTGCGGAGGAAAAAAGGTACAAAAGGTCACGTTTTTATTCAGAGCTTTTCCACCGTCAAAGAAGAGCAGTTAGAAGCGTTTTTTCTGTACAGGAACATGGCAAAGAATCAAAGAGAGAGAAGAGTCACGTCACTATTCTCTCTTCACTTGTTTTTTGTTTGTTTGGTTGGTTGTTTTGGTTGGCGATGTCGTGATGTCGTGTGTTTCCTTCTGGAAGGTCTCTCGCCACATTTCACCTTCCACCTTCAAGGCTCAAAGAGTTTTACATCAAGGAACCACTAACCCAGGGGTGGGCAATTATTTTTCCATGGAGCCACATGAGAAACAGAAAATACTGTGGAGGCCAAAATGCTTAACTCAGTTCTGCATAATATTAATGGTATTTAAAAAAAAAAAAAAGCAGTAAATATTGTTTTGACGAGATGCTCAGAATGGGAAGAGTTTATGTTCTGACTAAGCAATGCAAAAGTGGGACTGCTGGACAAAAAATGTTATTAAAAACACATCTCTAAAACAAAAGCAATGCAGCTTTAGTCCATGCATGAGGTACAATTATAAAATATGTTTATTTTGTAATTACAAACGATCTTAAAGAGGCCAACAAACAAGTCAAACAAAGGTTCATATGTGACCCAGGAGCTGGACAAGGCCCAGGTCGGAGTTTGGAGCAGTATTTTTGTGCATGAACATGACAAAGAATCAAAGAGTTGCACAAAAAACTGTCACACCTCCATTCTACCTCCACTTGGTTGTTTTGGTTGGTGATGTTGATGTTACAGGCGTCGGCCCTTTGGTGTTTGTTTATTCGTACTCCTGTTGTCTCTTATTTCTTTTGTGTGTGTTTGCGATCGGTCCGCGAGCCCTGGACTCAGATGCGCAGGAGCAGAGACTGTCGGACGGAGGCAGGGCGTCGGATCGCTCCAGGGGACTGACCAGACACCCCCTCCCCACCAGTCCGCGGGTGTCACCTGGGAGGCACGGAGTATAAAGTGACATGACGCTCCGTATCGAGGCTTTGAAGCGTGTGCGAGCAGGGAGGGGGCGTTTCCGAGATGCGTGTATCGAGGCTCGCTTCATTTAGGGGAGGAGCTGAAAATGCTGATGTCCGAAGCCTCGCTGCCCGGTTGTACCACGTGACTGATTCAGGAAGTGGTTCGGATTTTGCAGCAATTTCCATTTTCATCATTTTCAAATAATCACTTTCCATGCTGCCAGTACATAGACACAGTTCACTGCATCACTACAATATACATGTTTTGCATATTTCTTTATTTTGCTGACAGTTTTATTCACAGACTTTCTCCAAAATGTCACACACTTTAAACTCATGTCAACTGATATTTTTGTGTCCAGGAGACGTCCTGCCAGAGCAAATGAAGCTTCAAGAAGCTTTGCATTAGAGTGAACCAACTGGATGAAAGGCTTCAGTGCGTCTTGAAGCTTCATTTGTCCATCACTAATAAAAGAACTGTCTTCTGCCTGCTGGGGCTGGACACCTTGTGTGCCAGCTCGCCCTTTTGTTTTTTTGTTTGTTTGTTTTTTTGTTTTCTCATTTTTCGTTAAGATGTTGCCTTTGTTAGTTGATGTTGTCGAGACGCCTTGTTTGTAGTACAACTTTAGTTCAGTTTTTTTCCCTCAGTTTAATTGTTTATTTTTGTTTGAATCCTGTTATTTCACCGCAAGCTTTCTTTGTTTTCTTTGTTTTCCCCTACACTGTAAAATTATAAATTCACATTTTTTAGTTAAACCTTTAAAATCTTTTTTTTTATTTTTTTATTGTTACTTCCCTCCTCTAGCAAAGGGAACATAACAGTTGAGTATTTCCTCTGGAAGGTCTTTCGCCATATTGAGTATAAAATTGAGTATAAAAAGTCTGTGGCAGGACGGAGGTGCAGCGTTCACAGAGCTTTTCCACCTTCAAGGCTCAAAGCAGCAGGAGCTCATTTGGTCGAGCGTTTGCCCACTGATCTGAAGGTTGGCAGTTTGAATCCCGCTCGACATAAACATTGTTTGAGCGCTCAAAATCCACTGACCTACAGGCTGGAGGTGTGATTCCAGCTCCCACAGATGATTGCTGTTGTGTCCTTGAGCAAGACACTTAACCCACCTCACCCCCAGTGTCTGTGTGCACTGGTCTGTGTGAATGTGTGAGTGTGTGAGTGATTCTTTGTTGTAAAACACTTTGAGCCTTGAAGGTGGAAAAGAGCTGTATATAAAAATGTGACTATTTACCATTTTACCATTTACCACCACCTAGTGCTTCCGCTCAATTTCTCTCCAGCGACTAGTTCAGGAATCAGAAAACACTAGATGGTCTAGACCAGGAGTGTCAAACTCATGTTGTTCTGGGGGTCGTATCCAACCTACTTTGATCCAAAGGGGCCGGATCAGAAAACTCATGTCATATAAACCCCAAAAATAACAATAAGTTCAAATATTTGTGCAGAGAAACACAAATCTATTACAGAAATCTTTTTGAATTGATGAACTCTTTCTTTTACAAAATATTATAATATTATGAACAACCTGAAACTTTAAGAAAAATACAGTTTCAACATTTTAACATGAACTTGTTTACAAATAAGAATAAGTCCATTTTTGTTGTAAAATCCTGCACTCGGCTCCACTTTTTTCATGTTGGACATTTTTCTGATGAGGGTGTCACGGTCAACAGTCAAAACGATCGTCCTTTAAGAGCGTTTGGAAAGAGACAAGTCTTAATTTGTGCTGCTCTGGTGGGAGGGGCCACGTACAGAGACACTGGAGACGCTGCTGTGATAAACACCACAGAAAATTAACAAGATTTTAATAGAAAATAAAGGTCATAAAGCTCATAAAGGCCACATTAAAGGTCCTGGAGGGCCGGATCCGGCCCCCGGGCCTTATGTTTGACACCTGTGGTCTAGACGAAGACAGACATTCTGTGTTGTCAACAGTTCCCCAGATTGACGATTTAAAACCAGAACAAAGAGAATGTTTGGTGAATTTTATTTCGGGGAAAGATGTTATTGTTCTTCTTCCTACAGGATTTGGAGCTTTACAAACGTCACGACCAAACAACAGCGACTGGTTAAATAAAATAAATACCTGCCTACTGTCGAGCGAATGAATCCTAATGCTGCGAGGTCACACGGTTTCCACGAAGTGAAACCGTCTGATGACTTGGAACCACTCACCCGTTCACACACACACATTCATAACTCATGTTAACCTGCGTACACTGGTGTGAGTCTTGCCCAAGGACACAATGACAGTATTCATTCGCGGGAGCTGGAATCGCACTCCAGAACGCTCCACCGAAGAATTTCAAACACCAACTGAGCTACTGTCGCCAAGAACAGGTTCAACACAACAGGTCAAATCTCTAGTTTGGGAATTTTGGCCGCGGATGTGACATACGTAAATGTAATTCCATAACTGTTCCCCGTTATGAAAAAACACGTAAAGCAGGTAAACAAACGCTGAAGAAAAGTGTATGACTGCAGACAGAATGATGTATGGGCGACATCTAAAACCTCTTCACGCAGGTTTTTGATGAGGGAACGTGGTGGAAAGCTCCAAAAAGTCCATTTTACATAATCCCCGCTCTTTTGAAATCCATAGCTCACACATTTCAGAAAGACTCCAGTCATTTTTCTAAAGTTCTAAGAGAAAAGGCATTGAAAGGTGATTTTGTGGAGCGGAGCACTTCCCACGCGATCCGGAGGCCAGGGGCTGTGTTCTGGGACAGTTCTGACAGATGTACGTTTGTGAGCTCCTTTACTCCCAAACTATTTCCTCCTCATCTGACCCAATGAAAACTTCAGTGTGGATTTACAGCGGACGCACAGATCCATCATGGAGCGGCTGGAGGATCTGCACGGAGCAGTTTAAATCTTCATTAGAGAGAGGAGGACATGTGGGGGTCAGGACACCGGGCCAAGCCAATCACACTCGCAGCCAGCGCGCCTGATGGAGCTGTTTTCTTAAAGGCGTTCTACCTGATTTTTACTGTCTCCAAAACACGAAAAACAGAACGAGTTCATTTGAGACAGTTTGCCAGTCCAATCAGAACACTTTATTTCTACAGCACATTTTAGAAACATAACAGTTTCCAAAGTGCTGCACAAACAAATGAATGCAGTAAAAGACACAAAAGCATAAATAAAAACAATAATACAAAGTGTTCAAATGCATAAAGCTAAAAATTATAAAAATAAGGAGGAGCTGGATGTCTGGGTGAAAAGTCTGGGAGTCCCTGCTTAGACTGCTGCCCCCGCGACCCGGCCCCGGATAAGCGGACGAAAATAATGGATAAATAAAATAATAATAATAATCCATCCATGTTCTTCCTCTTCTCTGGGGTCGGGTCGCGGGGGCATCAGTCTAAGCAGGGACTCCCAGACTTCCTCCACCCCAGACACTTCCTCCAGCTCCTCCAGGGGAACCCCGAGGTGTTCCCAGCCCAGCCCAGACACATAGTCCCTCCAGTGTGTCCTGGGTCTTCCCCGGGGCCTCCTCCTGGTGGGACATGAACACCTCCAAAGGGAGACGCCCAGGAGACATCAGAACAGACGTCCTCCCCTCAGACGCTCTTCTCGAAGTGGAGGAGCAATGGCTCTACTCTGAGCTCCTCCCGTGACACCCTGCGGAGGAAACTCATTTTGACCACTTTTATCTGCGATCTCGTCCTTTTGGTCATTACAAAAAGTGGAGGAGTTCAAAATAATAATACTAATAATAATACTAATCATATTAAATAATGTGTTTTTTAGACTTTAAGGCACTGGATTATAAGGCACAATATCAATAATGTTGAACTCTCTGATCTATTTTCATACATAAGGTGCATTAAGTGAAACAAATGGACTGATACTTTAGTCCAGGTGTCCACGATCCATCAGCAGATCATGGTGTAATCTGGGAGGAAGGAGCCGGAGTTTTTGCGGGAGGTTGAGCGTTACTGACATGATACTGTGAGCTTCACCTTCACGCACAGCTCAGGCTCTGGAACCCAACTC